AAGAATTAAAATGCACAAAATAATTATCCGTTAAGTTTATTTTGCTTCAGCCGACAGACCTCAATGTCCTTGATTATGTTCATAATGTTATAATTTTATCAATAAACTATGAAAGGCATTTAAAATATGTATATAACAATCAAAAGAAAACATATTAATTAATAAATATCTTTATTAAATGTAAAATACATATTTTGAATCTCGTCAAAATGAAAGCATCCGCTTTTCAAACAAGACAGTATTTAGAATTTTAATAGGGTTAAATGAAAAATAAATTATATATTATTTAGGAATAACCCAAGTAAATTATTGTTCCAAATAACAATCACTCCAAATACGGTCTTGCTACAAGTATAATTAATTTATACTTAGGTAGGTACTTAACTATCTAAATTGAAATAATAATTTTTAATTTTAAACAAAAATATATATGATACAATTTAAATACTAAAATTATTATAATTAACCATTTTACATCTGCAAACAAAGATGATCTAAAAAGYATTCGTAGATAACTTGACATTGCCTATCTATTGTATCTTTAATAAAATAAGTGTGTATTTTAGGTTCCCAACATCAATAATTTGTCTTTATATTTTAAATTTCATTCTGTAATAACTAATTCAAAGTTATCCTTTAAGACCCACGCAAAAGTGCATTTCCTGTTAAGTTATTCAAACTCATGACCCCTGTTTGTGACTAAAATTGTAATATTTGATTATATAGTTCATATAGTAATTGTATATTCAGTTTTTAGTTGAAATTTTATTGTAAGAGTGAGAWAACTCGAAAGTTGTAATACTAAATGTATACTAATTGTGACTATTTATAATCAATAGTTAAAATGACACTGTACGAGGGATAGAGTTGCCTAACGGATTATTACTCGAATACGGATTTGATACAGAGATTATCGAAGATTTTTCTATTCATAATCACAGAATAAGGATTACTAATGAGAACTTCAAAATCTGTGAAAATTTTAAGTATATCAGAGTAGCCAGAATCTAATCGTAATAAAAAATGCCCCTTTGCTGCTGAAATTGATTCAACATATCTTTTATGTTACTATTGTAAACAAACGTGATAAATTTTATTTTTCAGTGATAATTGACAAAATAAAATAACCTACGATATTTATTGTATCAATAAGTTATACCATAGATTATTATCTGATTACTGGCTACACTGATATAAATACGAGCGTCTCGGGAGCAAATAGCGCGTCCAATCAGAATCGTTCACATTTCTTATCATTCTTTATGAAAATTACYAAGTGATATAATTATCATCAATCATACACGTGTTATACTTATTATATATTTGAATTATTATTATAATATATAAAATATATAATAAACAATAATGGAAATAAATTAAATATATGCGAGCATATTCATGCCTGCGCTATTCTTTCTTCATCAAATACTCAAAATAAATTGTGTGAAACAACAGAAAAAGAAATTCTAATTTCTGCTGCCGAAATAAACTTAATACAAAAATAAATACGGACAAAGAATCTGAACAGTTATATAAAATAAAAAGTAAAAACCAATAAGAAGCTGGAATAGGAATAATGTCATCCATCATTGCAAGTAAAAGTAAAATGACAGAGGAAGAAATTGCAGAAATGAATAAGCATAACAGTCCCTTAATTCAAGGAAAACGAAAGATAATCGAAATAGAAGAAAATAATGAACCTGTTAATAAGAACCGATAAACAGAAACGATTTGTGGCCTAAAAAAGAAAAGTTGAATTACTCAGTGGTAGATTAGAATGTAACGAAAGAAAATCTTTGAAGGAAGGGTTGGTATTGAGTGAAGTACAAATCATACATACTTCCTACGGTCATACTTACCAGTAATATGTTTAAAATATTTTAATACATATGTGCTTTTTTATTATGATTTATTTTTATTTAACTGATAGTAGACTTTAGGTTGACAAGTATTTCAATGGGGTTTTCTTTTAAAATTATTTAAGTACTTTAGTTTGACAATATACAAAACAAACTTTTCTATAGCAAAGGACTTATCCAGTAACACTTATGCATTATGACTACCTGCAATCGTGGAATTTCCTTTCAATTTATTTCCAATATATATCATATTGAAATATGCTACTTAATTTTTTTTTTAATAATAATTTTCATAAAGGATGATAATAAATGTGATTTTCACAAATAATGATAAGAAATGTGAACGATTCTGATCGAAATTTTTTTCCGGAGACGCTCGTTGACAAAATCTATCCCCCATATTAAGAATCGATAAAATATATAAATTATCCTTTTGGTGATGATGCACATAAATATCTAAAAAATAGTTAGAGGAACTCAGACTAAAGATAATGTAGAAGCATTCTATGATTTTTATAGAAAAAATAAATTTTGATACAACTAAATTTTATAAAAAAATAACTAACCGACTATTAATTTTTGAAGCGGATTACAAACGGACAATTATTTTAACCAAAATGTATCAACTTTTTGTCAATCATACTGATTAATCTGGTAAACAACAAGATAAGACTTTTGAAAACTGATTTAATATCGTTAATATATCTACTTGTGATCGATCAGGCCACGTTTTAAAATTTCGTAAAGCTAATTTGAATATTTAAAATTTACAAAATGTTAAATGTTGACTATTCGAAAATGTAATTAAATATATTAAAATGAAGCCTGCTTCGATACCAAGAATATAATTATGGAACTCACATAAGTTTTTAGAAGTCTTATCACGGTATCAGGTCCATCAGTAGGACTAACTAAAGTGCATACAAATGAGCATACATTGTTCAACATTCACGTGTGCGTAGGAGAGCTCCAAAATTTTTTTTTGCATTGTCATATACACTAATGACAACTTATTACACACACCATTACAAGACTTGTATGCATACAATTAGAAAATCGTGCATTTTTTTAACTCCTTAAAAATTGTCTATGTAAATCCCCTTAAATAAATTATAATTGTTGAAAGTTTATGTAATAAGTTAAAAGTTTCATTTTTTATTAATTAAAAGGAAATACTAAAAAATTTATCAGGTTTTTTGAAACAATTAATACCATTTAATTGGTAGATTGCTTAAAGCTCAAATCAAATTATAACCTAAATATTGGTATGATAAATTATATTATTTTTTTTTAGGTATACAGAGAAACCGAAAATAATAATACGAAAAACTTATGTGATGATCAGTAGAATATAATCACTAAGTTGATTGGATAAAAAAATGTTTTACACATCAAACAAAAGGTTAAATTATACCGTCATATCAATGTTAGTAATTAGTAAAGGTCATAATGAAAAGTAGCCTGAGAATATCGATTTGTCCAGTAACAAATTCGGAGCTACTCTACCCTCAGGATTTTTGCACATAAAAATCACAAAATTTACAATACTACTTATTGGCTGTAAAACTCAACATTCTTATTATAATTATTAAAATTATTGGTAAGTTGACTATTAATCAAAAATTAAAATAGCCTCAGTTAAATTGTTTTATAGTCAAGTCAGCCTTCTAATGACATTCCTAAAACAACATAATGTATACAAATAATATGGACTTATAGTAAACTATATAATAGAAAAGTCATGCATAATTACTCCTAATATGTAAAACATAAAATAATAATAAAACTATCTTATACAATAATAATAATAACAATAATAAACAATAATAATAATTATTATTATTTGAATAACAATTATGCTCATGTCATTTGCCAATTAAATAATAAAATTTAATACATGAATGAAAAAAATTTAGTTGTAGGTATCATGAGGATGCAGTTGAGGGTAATATGTTAAAATAAAAACCAAAGCAGATATATTGAACAATGTTATAAAAATGAATCATAACAATTTTGAATAAATAACCTACAATCCAGTTAAAAACTGAGATGACATTCGTTTTGGTGGTAATGCCAATCAGATTTCTGAAACAGAAAATTTAACTAATTACTTGATTGTAGTTGAATATTTGGATATATAATATAAATACAGCTACATCTAACATTGTATACTGTACTAATGGATCAAGGGTAGAAAATATTAAGAAATAATAGAATACATTTCTAAAAATACATTGAAACCAAATATATTTATTTGTTCCAAGCCTATTTCTTGAAACATTATTCATTAATATCAGTTAAAAATTTGTTTCAATAAGAAAATAAAAAACATAAAAACCTTACTTGGCATTGTATACTGCAATAACTAGCAGCCATACAAGTATTACAAGGAAAACTGGAAGTATTTGTACAATTGGCAGCCATGCACTAAAAAAAATGAATTAAATCATTTTAACATTAATAGAATTTCATTCTTTTGAAAACAAAACTATTTTAAAGATTAAAAACAATATTATTATGTCAATAGAAACACAATATCAAATTGATAAAATTCTTTAATTACTTTAGCAAGTACCTTTAATGTAATGATATAGTACCTACGGAAWTATATTAAATGTTTCTGCCAGCAAAAAATAGCAGCTTCAATTTAAGACTAAAAATTAGGACATTATACTTTAAGGAATAGATTACAAACCCCCCAAAAAGTAAATTATTTTCTGGCTATAGTACTGGTATTTCCCTTTTTGTTCAATAAAAGTTATGTCATTTATGGATCTTCTTTATTTTGGTAATTTAAATAATTTGTATACAAAGTGCATTACCCATGCTCGAGAAAATAAATTAACCCTTTTCACTACTTAGGTACTCTTAAACGGACTAATATGACAACTAAATGTAAGRATAATATCAAACTATCTGATTCAAACAGTTTTAAATAAAGACATCTAAATATCTGACGGATAATTTTTTCTGAAATTCAATATAAATATTCAAAATAAATTAATATGTTTTTGTAAAATTGAATATTTTCAAATACACTATACTTATTTATAGAACTAGACAAGATTATGGTAGTCCCATGCTTCTCAAAAATTATCTTTATAAACTTAAACCTGTTATTAGATCAATTTTAAATGTTAGATATAAGTTGTTTATTCCCATACTGTCTTCCAAAACCAAAAATCATTGTAAAACCAATAAATGCTAAAAGCTAATTCATTCCCTTACTATAGTTCCATATTATATGACTAATGACTCAATATTTACCGTTTTAWTATTAGAACCCTGATGATTTGGCATGTTGGGTAGTCGAGCATCAGGCAAATCTGGTGAAACCTGTACATATTTAAAATTGAATCATTTATAGTTTACCTACTACATGGCAGAACTGCTAAAACTATATTGTTAATATCAATAAATAAAGATATTGTGTTTGGTTTCAATTATATTATTCTTCTTCTTTTCAACCATATTATGTGACTAGACTTAGTAGTTCTACTTTCTACACCTCTATAGGAATCTTGTTTCCTACCTAGCTTTTAATCATAACAGCTATTCTCTTGTCATTAACTATATCATCTATCCATCTCGTTTTTGGTTACTCTCTTTTATTTTCTTCAACCTCATACTTCTTCCAAGTAACCTATCATCACAATATGATCGATCTATCTCAATTTATTGTTCCTGGTGTTCTCTAGACTACAATTGTTGCCTTTTTAATACACTACACTATAAGAATAGATATCCAGCCTAATCACTTCATCTTAGCACCCTTA